CCCATACAGATGTAGGGAGATGTTCCTACAGTGAACGTAAATCTGTTGCAAATAATAAACAGTCATTAATACCTGTAGAAGGAATCTCTTGTGTTTTGTATGGCTGCAAAACCTGTCAATTAAAAAAACAAAAACAAAAACCCATGGCCTCTGACTGCGGCAGAAAACAGATGAGACATCCAGCAGGCAGAAAGGATTCTGGAAAAGAGCATGAGATTCAGCACCAAGATGTGACAAAGATGGGTGCATAATGCCTGAGCTCAGGTAACCAGCCATGTAGCAGAATGTAAATTAGAATATATGAGTTCTTTTAAGTTATGCGCTAGTCAGACAAGTGCTTAGCTATACGGCCTACGTATTTGTATAATTTTTAATGAGTCTCATGAGTTGTTATTCTGAGAGCTAAGGGTCAGAAGGAAAAACCACCCGCAACATAACAGAGACCTACTACTACAAACACCTTAGGTTTTTCAAGTCTGACATTTTTTTAATCAAAAAATGTTTCTCACTTCCAGGTGTTAGACCACCTGTGTGTCAAATCTTAGAAAGCACTTTTTATTACAAAGCTAACATGAGTTGAGAAAGCAGAGGCTGTGCAACTGTCTGAGACAGAGAACACCTCCCCTATCTTATAGAGTATCTTATATACTCTGTTGGGCTGTGGTTAGGAGGGCAACATACATTCTGAGAAGACTTGCACTGATACATCAGAGTGGGTGAACTCAAACTCACCCAAACTCACCCTGAGATTTACTTTAAAAATACAGCAGAGCTGTGCATGCTGTTGAAAACCTTTAATCTCAACACTCAGGAGGTAGAGGAAGGCAAATCCATCTTGGTGTTCTAGGCCAGTGTGGTTGTGTTCTAGGCCAGAGCTGGGTCCAGTACAGCCAGGGCTATACAGAGACTTTGATTCAAAAAACAAATCGAATACAGCAAAACCCGGTCCATGAGAGAGTATTTGCCTATGTCTATGGCCCTGCAACACACACACTAAAGTGCTTTCCATCCAAGGATGAAGACTTGGTTATGATCTCTGGTAAGCCCCAGGACCTAGTGAGAAACCCTGTCTCAAGTCCTGATTCCACTTTACCTTAAGGTTCTGTTTCTATAGACCTATATACACACATGCCCTTTACTTCATGTGCTAACTTTCCTGGCTTTCCTTCAATGTCACCTACAGATGACTTGGAATACCACCAGAACACATCAGATGGTGTTTTGTGCTAGCCTTTCTTTTAGCAGGTGAACCAAAACAACCCTTTCAAGTTTAAAGAGCTAAGAAAAATATGTGACCTGATTATGTCTACACAGTCTAAGATCTGGAATAAAACAAAAAAACGGACTCTAAGTAATTGTCAACTTAGACCTTTCCTGGCAACTTAGAACTTTCCTATTTTATCTGAAGTAATTTTAAAAATGTGTAAGAAAATATGAGACATGAGAATCTTTCCTTTTAAAAGTTCTATATTTACAAAATAAGTATGAACTATACTTAGGGAAACTGAAGTCTGGAGCAGCTAGCAACAGGTGTATTAGGTAAAGACGTCTCCTTCTAAAGCATGGTCCTTGTGGAACCCTGTCCCCATGGCAGAGGAAAGCCCCCAAGGACTGTTTGTTTTCTTGAGATTATTCCAGGAAAAGCAAGAGGCATGTTACTATAGGTGTGCCTTCACAAACTGTTATCACAGAATTCTTCATCTTTGAGACTAAATTCCCAAAATTTGATTTTGAGGCTTCTATCAGTGGAAAAAGATGAAGCAGAGCTGGCTGCTGGAGGATGGTTCCTGCCTCTGCCTTTCTGAAGAAGGGAGAGGAATAATATCAAGCTCTCAGCAGCATTACAGAGTGTAAGATACGTGGCCATGACCTGAACCGTACTGGAGGCACAACTGTCTGCATGTCAAATGTCAAAGCACTCCCACATTCAAGTGGTCTGTCCTTCTCCCAAATCCCAGCAAACAGAGGAAAACACATGTCAAGACTTCTCAGAATTGCAGAAGCCTCACTGCTTCACTAACCTGGATCCATGCAGAACCTATAGGTTTCCTTGTCGATCATGTCTGTTACTTTCTATGTACTCCATCTGTTGGCTATTCACACCAACTTGAGCAGATGGAAGGAATCCTTTGTAAGCCCTCAAAGGCAAGAAAGTGGCCAAGGCCCCACCTACAGAGCTCCAAGCAGCCAGGCTCTGGACACCAGACTTCCCTAGCAGCTCTAATTGTAATTTTCTAACTGTTCTTCCCAGCCCTGAGGTAGGACAGTGCCCAGACCCCAACTTACAAGAAAAATCCCACCAATCCCTGAAAAAGAAAACGCATGAATTCCTGAGCTCAGGACTTGAAATTTCACCAATCCTCACCCTGGAAAGCTCTGACCCCTAAGAAATCCTATATAAGCCCTGGCTACTGTTTGGTTCCCTGCTGTCCTCTCAGGAGCACAGGCAGCCACCCCTGGATTCCTCTCCCCCAGTAAATCTCTTTTTGAAATTTGCTGCTTGGTATGACTCTCTCATTGGAAGAGGCCAAGAAGCAAAGAAGAGAAGCAGCTAGGAAGTAGAGCAGGGTGAGGCTCCTGAGCTCCTCAGATCACTTGATAACTCTTCCCTGGGAGCTGCAATGCTCAATACAAGGAACAGCCAAGCGAAGCTATTACACTGTAGCACTCCAGCTCAGCCAGGGATATCCTGCCTCAGGGCTGCAACACCTCTGCTGGAACTTCCTCTCACAGCTGTGTACAACTGTGCAGTTCCTGGGCTCCAGGACCTCAGGATGCCTTTCCATCCAAGCAGAAACACCGGCATCATCCTTTCTCCAAAGTCTTACAATGTTCTAATGCAAGCACATCACAAGTTTATCAAGTTGTTTATACTACTGCTTTGTCTGTGATCTTCTCTTTTCCAATAACTTATTAGTCTGTTATAAAGTGAATTATATGCCCCCAAAATTTGTTTTCCTGCACACTGATTGAATGTGACTCCATTTTGAGATGAGTGACATGACAATCTAATCCAACTGGTGTGGGTATCCTGAGAGAGACTCCAGGGATGCAAGTGTCCTGAGGAAACCACGTGAGGACACTGCAAGCAACGGACATCTGTAAACCAAAGACACACTGCCAATGTCTCAGTCTTGAACTTCAGCCTCAGAAGTGTGAGAAATGAGTTTCTGCTGGTTCAAACCACCCTATTTGTGGTGCTTTGCTATGACAGCCCTAGTTAAATATATATAGCTGTTGTCCACTATCCAATATCCAGACAGGATTACCTTCCCTTAACACAACAAAAATTTTTAGCATGACGCAAAATGCAACCATTGGGGAAAAAAATCAGCTGTAATAACTGAGAACATGCTGTGGAAATAACTTGATTTTCTACAAAGGTTCTATATGTTGCCACACCAAATTTGATGTAATGAACAATGTTGTGAATTCTAGTTCTCATGAAAACAACAAAACCTACATTTTTAGCTCGGCGAACGTTGCAAGTCCAGAACCAAATTTTCGTGGGCTATCTTTACCTCTCTTAATATTGCCTAACATTGACCTAACATTCTCAGAACAAACAGGCAAGCTCCTTTTTAGAATGTAGGAACAGAGCTCTAGATGCCAGCAGCCCAAAGGTGAAGAATGTGATCAGGCAATGTCTGAAATTTACAGCATAGACTTCATACTTTACTATAACCTACTATTTTAACTCATTTGGAAAGTGTCTTGATTTATGATTTCCTCTGTCCTATGAAAATGATGGAGCACAATGTTTAGGTAACCTGAATCGAGTTCCTGGGTCACGGTCACGAACATTCAGCTCTAGATTCTAACACTCAAAACTGAAAGGTTATCAGAGGCAAGCAGTTGGCATGTAAAAATTAAAATTGTTCCAAAAACAAAAGCATACAAGGGAAACACATTCTCAGAGGCAGAGAGATGGCTCAGCAGTTCAGCGTACTGGCTGCTCTTCCAGCGGACAGGGTTTAATTCCTAGCACCCATTAGGGTACCTCCCACCTGTCTGTAACTCCACTGTTGGAGGATCTGACTGCTCTCCTGGTCTCCAGAGGAACTACAAGCACATGGTGCACAGGCATACAAGGCAAGCAGATCATCTACACATATCAAAACAAACAACAAGTTTCTCTAACAATCAGGGAAATGAACCTGGACACTGGATGGCATCACTACGAATTTCTAGGAATGGGAACGATATGGAAGTTATTCAAGGCTGATATGTCAACATTCACAAATGTACACAAATATTTACTACAAAAATATGCATGAATGGTAAGAGGGAGGAAAAAAAGACAACTGAGCAAAAATTTCATAGAATATTACTTGCTCAATTTAAAGAGAATATAGTCTTTTGAATCTTCTTTATACTGAACACATTCATAACCACTAATGGGCAAATATTCCACCTCACATCAACATTCTGGAGCATGATGTGGGGCAGAGTTCACAGGTGGAAGTGCACTCCCCAAACCGAGAAACAGTATGTGTATACAATTAGCAACTAATACTCAGGCTCATCTATTACATTTTCTCCCCACTGAAAATGGCACATAAGACACCAACCTAGAATGAAGAAGTATATGACAAGTGGGGGGTGTGGGGGGGAGCTAGATTTAACTCACTTGTAAAAGAGGCACTGTGTTAATTTTAAATTTCCTGCAGAGGAAGTTTTCAACTTCCCTTTCTATTTGTTACCTATTGATTATCTGGCTGCTTTATTTGCATTTATATGAACATTTTATATGATTAAAACATTAAGTAAATGTTTACCACGTTAGGATTTCATTTGTTTTAATTTTCACTGAACAGTTTTCTTGTTTTATTTTTCCTTCAGCGCTGGAAATGGACTTCAGGGCTATGTGTAGAGTCCACAGGCTTTTCTATGAGTGACCACTGTCCTCAGTGGTGTGTGGTTCTTTAAGAGGCTTTTGTATCCTGCCTCCTCCTCAAGCTGCTGTGGTAGCATACACAGTGACATTTCAGAAGTATTACCTGCTGGTCATCAGGAGTCCATATACCACATGTGATCTGGCTCTCCAAGTTGATTTCAGATGACCAGTGCCTTTGTCCACTGACAGATCCAACCAGGACAAACCCATCTCGATATGAAATAAGCGCTTGAGTCCCGTCATGGCTCCATGTGAAATCACTCACCTTAAAGACATACAAAGAAGGATCAGTTCACAGCATGAACAGCAAAACATGTTTATCAAAGCCAAGGTGCATTCACTAATTTAAATTTTAGTTGAAGATCAAGATGGGCTAAACACAACGATATAAAAGGGAAGGCTACAGCAGCCAGAGAAGGTGGTGCATTTCTGTATTTGTAGCAAGCTGCGGGCTATCACAATGAGTTCCAGATCAACCTTAGCTCCAAAACACAAACAAATAAACAACCAACCCCCACCAAAACCAAACCAAAACACCAAAAACCCAAAACAAAACAAACAACCCCCCTACCCAGGAGCTGGGAGTGAGCTGTGTGATAAGTAGTACCTGCTGAGTATAAGCAAGACCCTGAGTTTCAGATCTGCTCTGTATAGATCAGGGAAGAGGGTAAGGAAGAAAGGAGAGCACAGTTAGAATTACTGCACATAGCATGAACTATGTGTCACACTACTACAGGCTCTGTGTACTGTAATTCACTAAGCCCCAGACCAGCCATCCACGGAGACGTCTTCATTCCACACAGCCAGTGAGGGACAGAGCTGGGAATCTTCTCAGAGTCTAGCTCCAGAGCTCTTTGCCCTTTTCACGCGGCCTCCTGTTTATGAAGGTTAGTAACAGGCTCTCACTCCAGCACCATTTGTTGCTCAATTACACAACAGTAAAGCTCCACTCTTCTTATTTTCTCAAATGCTGGGGAGGAATCCTCTGATTGGAGGGAAGGGACAGAAATCTAAAGGGAAGCTTACACTTAGTATTGAATAACTCAAGCATGTTCAGAACATGCATTCAAATGCTGCTTCTCTCCTTTAATTTTCTGTGCTGAATCGCTTGTATGGGTTTTTCAATAGTCCACTGATCTTCTACCTGTAGGCAATGGGGGAATGGTGTGTAAATAGTGAGGGCTGGGCTACAGTGTAGTTTAGCAGTAGAGTGCTGAATAGCAATCTCAATTCCTACCATGGCAGGGAAAGGTGATACATTTCTTTCGTCTTACAACTTTAATCATTTACCATGTCTTCACAATCTGCAGATACAGGATTTTAAAAATATTTACTCCATTCTTAATTATGTGTACATGCTGTCTGTCTGAGGGTGTGTGCAACAGAAGCAGAAAAAAAGCCCAAGGTCCACAGATCTGGTGTTACAGGAAGTTATGAACTGCCTGCCATGGGTGGACACTAGGAACCAAATAAAGGTCCTCTGAATTCGGTGACCACTGAGCCATCACTCCAGCCCCCGAATACTGGATTGCATTTCTTTTTTCCCTTACTTCCTTTCTTTTGTTTTGCTTTGTTTCCAAGACAGGGTTTCTCGGGGTAGCCTTGGCTAACCTAGAACTCACTCTATAGACAGAGATCTACCTGCCTCTGCCTCCCCCATGTTGGGATTAAAAGTGTGTGCTACCAGTGCCCCAAGATACAGGATTTGACAGATGTTCATTCATTTATTCTTAGCCTATAAGCTATTTAACTTATTTTTTCATACATGTTAGAGATTTGGGAATGTATGTTTGTGACGCCGAGCCTTATAGAGGAAGCTATGCTGACATATGTAGACCCTATGTGGCCCTTGAACTCATGGCAATTCTCTTGATTCGGCTTCCTGAAAGTGCTGACATTACAAGAGTAGACCACCATGCCCTCCCTGCTTATAGGCATTTAGTTGGTGCCAAAGATAAAACTCAAGTTTTGTCTTTCATGTGAAACACTTTATCAGGGAAGCCATCTCTGGTTCCCCCATCCAAGTTTTTAAAAAGAGATTCTGTGCAATTTTATCTTTTAGCCGAACTTAGTCCATTTATACATATTCTGTTTGTTGCTGTGTTTGATCCTGTCTCTACTACCTTAATTTACTTCTTAGTGTGGACTACTGTCTTTCTTTTTAACTTCTCTCTCTCACACACAAAATCACTAACCATAATCTTTACTGCTGCTTGTACTTGTACTGTTTTAAAAATTTGTGACATTGCTAAATACATACATCACATTTCAAGAAATAAATAAATAAACATAAATAATAAATAAACATTTCAAGAAAATAAACAAATAAAGTGCAAAGATAAAGCGCTTTCAGATGTGTTTTCAGCACAGATGGGTGAAGCTGATGCCAACCAGCCTTGTCTACAGTGACAATGGCACTGATTGGCGGAACAGGCCTTCAACAGCTGCTCCCAGTCAGCAGAAAGAGGTGCTTCTGTAAGAAAACTCAGAGCTTTGGCTTCACATCCTGTCCATTCAATTCCACGATCCAGTTTCTCTTAAGAATACCAAGCTCCCAAAGACAGCATATTACTGGGCAATAAGTATAACATTTCCCCCAAAGATTATGCTCTTATTTACATGTATATACATTACTTACATGTATACCTATGTATCATGAAACAGTTAAATAAAAGGAGAGACTTCTTAGAGAGCTAAAGTACACAGCAATGAAAAGGGGCTTCTCAGAGCAGCAAACCTTTCCATCCCATGTCTGTCTCTTTAAAACTGTATTACTTCTCAGTACTGAAAAGACTCAAGATCCTCCTTTAGCCATTATGTATGTGTTGGGTGGTAATAGATAATACATTGCTATTATTTATAATTACTCTATTCAGCTTCTTAAACCAATTCATAACCCCATATGGGGTCACATAATAGAATATAAGGTTTGTAAACTTTTTGGCAAGAATACAAGGTTTCTGAGTATGGCCAAAAATTAATCAAAAATCAAACATATGACAGGCCCATGGTGTTCCTGCCAGAGCCTCTGTGCTGCGTGGTAGGACTCACTGTAGCCTTGGTTCTGGATAGGTAGTACACACGTGAACAGCGCACAGCCACTGCTGCGCATGTGATACCAGTGAACGCTGTCTGAAGCACCTCCACTGCTGCGCATGTGATTCCAGTGAACGCTGTCTGAAGCACCTCCACTCAAATTCAAGACTGTTTATCTTATAAACTAAAGTGTTTTTACTTCACACACAAAGCTTTCTTCGGCTGTGGAAACATTCACTTCATTATAAAAACCAGACGTTTTATAGTTTGTTATTATCCTTCAGAATATATCATATCATATATCATATCATAGGAGCACACTGTGTTTGAAAGTCTGATTTTTTAAACTGATATTTGAATTTACCATGAATTTTAGATTGGGATTAGGACAAAACTTCCAACAATTTCTGAAATGGCCCCACATATACTTCTGTCATCTTGTGCTACATATTTACGCAAAATGACATTTTCAGGGTTAGTAATTTTAAGATAAAAATACCAATATACTCTAAAACCCATTAAAGATAGTGTATATCCTGCAGCATTAAATATTCAGCCAAGATTTAATTCTTTTTCTTTGTTTTTTTTTAATACTAGGTCTCTCTATGTGTTCTCCTGCTGGCCTGAAACATGGTATATGGTCTAGCCTGGCCTCAAAACTGGAGCAATTCTCCTGCCTCTGCCTCCCAATACTAGGATAATAGCCATGACTTATCATGCTTAGCTAATATTTAACTTTTTAGGGGGGAAAAATTAACACATTTATCTCATTAGTATGAAATTTTGCTTTATTTTTAATAAGTGAAAATACACGTATATAAATTGTTCTGAAGTTATTATCTCTATGATTTATTATCAGTAAATATTTAATTTATATGCCTACTGAATATATCTATCTTGCAGGGATTTCATGGGTCAAAGTAATGAGCTGTCCGATAAAGCCGTCCTGCTCTACTGTGCAGTACCCAGAAATACTTGTATCTACCTTAACTATAGCTTAGGCTTACTGACCAACCAATCCCCACCCCTCCTCCTCTCTCCCTAGCCTCTACCTAACTATAGCTTAGAGCCACTGACCAACTCTACTGGCTGGGTTTGTGTCAACTTGACACAAGCTAGAAATATGTGAGGAGCCTCAGTTGAGGAAGTGCCTCCATGAGATCCAGCTGTAAGGCATTTTCTCAATTAGTGATCAATGGGGGAGGCCCCAGCCCATTGTAGGTGGTTCCATCTTTGAGCTGGTGGTCCTTAGTTAACTTAGAAAGCAGTCTGAGCAAATGATGGGAAGCAAGCTAATACGCAGCTCTCTGTATCAGCTGGTCTTCAGGTTCCTCTTTAAATTCCTGTCTTTACTCTCCCCCTTCCTCCCCAGTCCCCCCCCCATCTTCTACTTTTTGCAATGTAGAAGCATAAATGGAATAATCCCTTTCCTCCCCAACTTCCTTTTTTGTCATGGTGTTTTTGTTGTAGCAACAGAAACCCTAACTAACACACATGCTGTTAGTAGGAATGTTGGTACAGCTCACATGAAAACATTACAGACGTTCCTCCAAAGATTAAAATTGGAACTACCATATGATCTGCAGCCCACTGATTAATACACACAGCAGCAGAATACTAATCATCTGGAAAAGAATGAAATTCTACATCTGCAACTGTGGGCAAAATTGGAGGCCTTTATGTTATAAAGTAAGCCTTCCAAAGGAAGGCATGTACCACGTGATCTTAGAGCCCAATCCTAAAAAAAGTCATTTCACAGGAGCTGAATTAGAATGGTTGCTACCAGAAGCTAAGGAGAGAGGACAGATGGGGAGATTGGTCAGTGGATTTAAGCTACAGGTGGAGAATAGGGAGAAGGGGGCATGATGGAGGAAAGTTAGTGACTTAGAATTTCTATTGCTACAACAAAACACCATGACCAAAAAGGAGGTTGGGGAAGGAAAGAATTTTCCTTGGCTTACACTTCCATACTGCTGATTATCATAGAAGGAAGTCAGGAAAGGAACTCAAAACAGGGCAAAAACCTGGAGGCAGGAGCTGTGCAGAGACCATGGCGGGTGCTGCTTATCGGCTTGCTCCTCATAGATTGTTCAGCTGCTTTCTTAGAGAACTGGGGACCACCAGCTTGAGGTGGCACCATCCTCAATGGGCTGCCCCCTACCCCGAACTGTCCCTTACTAAGAAAATGCCCTACAGCAAGATCTTATGGAGGCATCATCTTAATTGAGGTTTCTTCCTTTCAAGTAACTCTGGCTTGTGTCAAGCTGACTCAAGACTGGCCAGCACAGTGAGCATGTTCTTACTGGTACTAACTTGTCTCTCTGACAGTAAACTCATCAGGAGATGGCATCTCACTGTGGTGATGATGTGCATTTTCATGATGATTACTGAGTTTGAACATTTCTTCACCTCCTGTCTACTATAGGTTTTCTTGAGAATATTTATTTAGGTGTATTGTCCAGTGTTTAATTGAAACATCTTTTTTTTTTCTCTGTTAAATTCCTTGCAATTCTAAATATTAACCTCTTGTCAGAAGCAACAGTTTGCAAACATCTCTCATTTTAAAGGCTACGTTTCCTTTGTTTTACAAATCTTACTAGTTTGAAACAAACCTGTTTATTTTTGCTTTTGCTTCCTGTGCTTTGGGGGTGTCATTCCCACACCCAAAGAAACAAAAGCCACTAGCAATCTCACAAAAAGGTATTAGAGGATGTTCAACTGAACTGTCTGAGTTTACTACTTTAGCACAGGGCAGTAAAAATGCTTGGTATCTGCTGTGCGGAAGAGGAAGATGATGAGTTCAGGTCAGAAGAAGCGATACAAACTTAGGGAGGCCCTGTCTGAAAGAACCAAAGACTAAAGGTGTACCTCAGTTTGTCAACCTCAGCAATTCTAAACCCACCACCATCAGAGAGATTGTGTGTGTGTGTGAATCTGTCTGTCTGTTTTTCTTTCCCCTCTCCAAACTGGAGAAACAAAAATGGGGAGAAAAAAGTACTAACTACTAGGGGGGAAAATAGCAGAAATTCCTCTCTGGGGGATCGTTTAGAACTGCAAACTTTGCTGAAGTTTCAGCCTCACTGTACTAAGGTGAGTTCTCAGATTTCTTGAAGCTAAGCAGCATTTTGGCCACACCACTGCCTGAGGCAGCTTCTTATTAGAGCCTGTCAGAGTATGTGCCTGGCACAGCCATTCTCAGTGACTAACGCTGTAAAAGAATGCATGCACTGTTCCACACCCACTTTGAAATAAAGGCCTCATGATCACTTCCTGAAAAAGAAACTGCTACAGCATTACTTAGCTTTTGCCAAATGCTTGTTACCTTGTGACAACAAGCTGCATGGTCTAAGTGAGGATCATCAGTTGCTCCTTCTAAAACAGTGATGCTTTTCTTGGAGCTGCCTGGCTAGCTTGCTCCTCCTCCAAGCTACAGAGCTGCTCATTCCACCAGAAATGTTTCCAGGTGTACTAAGGGCACACTGCCTCAATCAGCAATCAGCACAACCTATGCATTTTTTTTTTAAACTAAGGTCAGATCTAACTCCAACATCATCAAAGGCAAACAGGAGTTCCCCCAAATGTCAGTATTTAATGAAAGCAACTGCTCAAGAGGGTCTAAGGTTTAAATAACTGGTTTTTAACAGCAAAAAAAAAAAAAAAAAAAAAAAGGGCAACCGTGTCATGAGCTATAGCAATTCCTTTAGTAGCAACTGCTAGCACCAGCACCTGAACTTTGAGTGCTGTCCAATGTTCTGTGGTCCACGTCTGCTCACCTGTCCCCAGGAGTCACTTCCCTTACCTTTCTTGTTTCTGACATTGTGTCTGTTCTAAACGCTCTACAGGAAAAAAAAAAAAAAAAAAAAAAAAGGTGGATGTTGACAGGTATGTCAATTACACAGCTGGCAGATGGAGATAATGGGAACTGGAGTGTGGGTGGGTCCTTGCTGAGAAAACACAGTGCTGGGAAAAACCATGTAGTGGAGCTGCTGCCTGCCTGATAGGGTGTGTCTTCCAAACAATAATAAAGTCTGGGCACTTACGGATATAATATGAACACATGGATTTTTGCCAAAGAGAAATAGGTTGGTTTGGAGCTTGTTTTGTTTTGTGTGTGTGTGTGTGTGTTTGGTTTTTCTTTTGTTTTGTCTAGAAACAGTGTGGTACAATGTGTTAGAAGAAAAATGCAGTCCGAGTACTCAATTTAGCACCTCCTTGGGTAAGTTATTGAACATCTTGACCTGGATTTTTTTTTTTTCTATTAAGTGACAATAGCAGATTTTCATAAAGTTCTGTGAAGCTTGAGAGAAAAACAGAAAAGAAAGAAAGAAAGAAAGAAAGAAAGAAAGAAAGAAAGAAAGAAAGAAAGAAAGAAAGGAAGCAATATGGCGTAAGTTTTAAGTCATCATGACCAAGGCAACTCTTATGAAAGGAAACATTTCACTGGAGGCTGGCTCAGTTTGAGATGTTTGGTCCATTATCACTATGGCAGGGAACAATGTGGTGTGCAGGCAGGTGAGGGAGCAGGAGCTCCATGCTCACTCTGTATCCTCTGAGGCGCATCTGCTGGTTACTCCTTTGTAGTTCTTAGAAGGTGTTTCCTGTGCTGACCTCTGTATGGTTGTTTCTCATAGCCCACTTACCAGGTAAAGAGCTTTATGGCTCTTTTCTATTGTTTTCAGTTAGTATGACACCTGTTCTGATATGCCACGCCTACTCTGAGGAAAACCCTCCAAGGACTTCCTGCTGAGCTGCTGCCATTACAGAACTGGCCTTGTACTGCTCTGGATTGCTCTCCAAATCCCGCCCTGCTGTTTTGGCTGGGCTACCTGGCACCCCTCTCTCTCTTCTGCTGAAGGATACCCTCAGAGAGCACTGCTGATGAAGGTTTCCTGCACTATTTTAACTATTTCCCTGGGATTGCCTCACTGTATATTTCTAGTTTACTGGATGATCATCTGCTCCTTTCTCACCTGGCACTTAAGTTAGGAGCTTCCCACATTTGAAAGATACAGACCATTCAGGTAACATAAAATTCTAAGATATTAAGGTATTATTGTCAATACTGATTAGGCAGAAGGTCTTGAGGTATGTCATCACAGGAGCCTGCCTCTGTGGAAACAGCATTCTTCTTTTGTGTGACAGTGCATTCATTTAATAGGTTAGGCATAATGACCCTAATAAAGCCACATCTGTTTGCACCATGACTCAAGAGTAAGGAAAGGAGGAAATGGTGCCTGCCCTGTGACACTAATCAGACTTTTGGAAGGAAAACTGCAAATGCAGCAGTCTGCAAGACCTTGATGAGTTAATGTTGCTTTGCAAGGTCAGAGGCATAAGCTCTGTAGGCAGACAGTATAGGTCAGAAACTCAGCCCTTGACTTCCAAGTTCAAGGTAGTTCTCTGTGCCTGTTTTCTCATCTATAATAAGGTGTCTCAAGGGTCACTGAAAATTAAATCAAAGGGTATATGAGACGTGCCTAAAACATCACTTACGCCTAGCAGCTATCACTGCATGTGACCTGCACATTCTCACAGAGCTATTGCCTCAGAGCCTCCAGCATCCCCGAAGTCAAGTTTCAGCTGTGGAGATAGCAACTCTTTATGAGTTGTGTGAGACAGATCCTCTTCCAAAGTTGCTTATGGGGTCTCTTTGGTGCTGCAATTAGCGATCTAGCAAAAGGACAGGATTCTTGTTTTTAATGTGCATTAGTGTTTTGCCTGCATATCTGTATGCATACCAAGTGCTCAGAGACCAGAGGAAGACACTGGATGCCCTAGAACTGGAGTTACAGATGGTTATGAGGCACCATGTGGATGCTGAGAACAAAACCCAAGTCCTCTGCAAGACCAGTAAGCACTCTTAACCACTGAATGGAGATGTGCCTTCAGATCCGGAATCTCAAGGAGCACTTTAAATCATTACTGAGAAACACAGGACAGAAAGAATGGACACAGGCTATGGTGGCTTGAATAAGAATAGCCTGCATAGGCTCGTATATTTGAATGCTTAGTCACCAGGGAGTGACACTATTTAAAAGGATTAGAAGGTGTGGGCTTGGTGGAAAAAATTGTGTCACTGGAGGTGGAATTCGAGGGTTCAAAAACCCATGCCAAGCCCAGAGTCTCTCTCTTGGCCTAAAAATGCTCTCAGGATGGGGGGGGGGGGAGGCTGTGTGGGTCACTTATAGCACAGAGTTCTCAGCAGTAGCTGGCTGGCGAGGAAGAGGCATATCTTCTATACTCATGTTCAAGTTGAATGAAAGGGAAGGATCTAACTTACTGCCCTTTACCTCATACACACACAAAAAAAGTTTCACTGAAGACCAAGGCTACTCCATTTGCTCTGGGAATTGGGTTGGCCTTTAAGCAACAGTGTTTCATTGGAAGAGGTCTGCGATATACTCACCTGAGCCCCACGGTCATTGACCAGTTCCACAGACCACCTGCCTTCATACTGAATCCACACAAATATTCCTCCATCTGCGTCACATGTGGCAAGTTTCTGGTAAGGCTCATTCCATCTCACCAGCACAACCTAGAAAAATAAGAAAATGTTAACAACAAGAAAGAAAACAACCAGTCACGTTTATTTCCATAAAGTATTCAGACTTCAGAACTAAACAGGAGAATAGGAGATAACGTGGGAATTAGGAGGGGACCAGCTGAAGCCACATGAATCCAGATACTTGACATGTCCTAGAAGACAGCAGACACCTGACAAATAATGAAGTATGTTCGCTGATACAAAGAGGGGCCCCACCTGACCCAGCACCTTCCTCTCACAGGTATGTAAAGATCTCTCATTTGCTATAGAGAAAAGGTCTACACAAAATTCTTATTTTTGAAACATGGTATTTGTTGAGTATAGCAAAAGACATCTCAATTTTCTGTCTTTTCTGGACTATCTTATTTCTGAACAGCTTAGCATCTAAAAAGAGCCAACATGGAAAACTCACAGTTGAAAGATTTAAGTTGCTTTGGATTTATCTGAAAGAAAATATAAAGTTATAAGCTTCTGTGGTGGTTGAATGAGAACAATATTCATAGGCTCATATAGTTGAATGCTTAGTCATCAGGGAGTAGCACTATTTTGAAAGGATTAGAAGGATTGGAAGGTATGGCCTTATTTAAGTAAGTGTGGCCTTGTTGGAGGAAGTGTGTCACTGGGAAAGGACTTTGAGGTTTCAAACACCCACACCCCCACACCAGGTCCAGTGTCACTCCCCACCCCCACCTAGGAATCAGGTACAGCTCTGGTGCCCATGCTTCCTGCCATGATGAGGATAATGGACGAAGCCTCTGAAACCATAAGCAAGCCCCAATCAAATGCTTTCTTTTATAATGGTTGCCTTGGTCACGGTGTCTCTTCACAGCAATAGAACAGTGACTAAAATAGCTTCTAATTTTATGAGTATGGGAACTTAACTCCTTTTATAAAATTAATATACACTACTAATTTTTTAATTAGAAAAACTTAAAACTTAAAAATTTTCTCAATCTAGAGAAATTCTTTCATCTTTCTCAATTATAAATTATAACTTATTTTATCTAAAAAGGTAGAATGTCTGAGACAGCGAGATGGCTCATTGGTAAAAGTTCGTACTTCAAGCCTGACAATCAAAATTTGACTCCTGGAGCCTTGAGTATAGGTGTTCAGAGAGAGCCAACTACACCAGTCTGTCATCTGACCTCCACACGTGTGTGGTGGTCATCATAAACACACAGGCATAATAATAAATAAAACTTTAAAAGGTAGGAAGTTGTCAGGTGATTTGTGAGTCTATGTGATAAACACTTGGCAAGTCTGGGGCCCAGGTTGAAAGGGTCAAGAATACCTATGCAGTCGGACACTGTCATCAAAACAAAGCGACTGCCTACAGATTGGGAAAGAATCATCACCAACCCTCTATCTGACAGAGGACTCATATCCAATATATATAAAGAACTAAACAAGCTGAAAAGCAACAAACCAAGTAATCCACTTAAAAAATGGGGAACAGAGCTAAAGAGAGAATTCTCTGCAGAGGAATATCGAATGGCAGAGAAGCACTTAAAGAAATGCTCAACCTCATTAGCCATTAGGGAAATGCAAATCAAAACAACCCTGAGATTTCACCTTACACCCATCAGAATGGCCAAGATGAAAATCTCAAGGGACAACACATGCTGGAGAGGATGTGGAGAAAGGGGAACGCTTCTCCACTGCTGGTGGGAATGTAAACTGGTACAACCACTCTGGAA